AAGGCAGATTTCAATCGAAGGTCCCATCTTGAAGTCATTCTTAGTTATTCGGGAAAGTGAAGTTCAAAGTTGGAAGTTGTAAAAATTTTGAGTAAAGAAGTTAAGTTTAGAAAGTTGTAAAAAGTTAAAGCAGGAAACCACGCTCTGCTACCATATAGTGATATCCGTGGATAAGTAAAGTTACGTTTGGTTTTCCTGCTTTAAATTAAGTTTTAAGTTAATAAATGTAGAATAAATAAAGAGTTAAATTGTATCAACTTTCTTTCTTTAGTATTAGTTTATTTACAATCAATTATTTCCATGGAAACCAAAAATAAAAACCAGCTGTCTCAGCACACCATTGGATTTTCAGTTTACAAAAGAGCATTTCCAGTCTAGTTACTAGTAAACGTGATATTCTTGTTTCACTCACAGATGAATGTAGAACTCTTTCTAACGAATGACAAAGAGAACCGAGAGAGAGAAATGAAGCATTATAACCGTACCTTTCCCTTCACATCACGAGTGTAGGATTGTATGCAATTCGTCCACTTTCGATTTTAATTGCAGACATTTTCTGGATGTCATTCTGTTCTAATATTGCGAAAATAATTTTTTCTACAGTCATCTGACAAAGTGACCTTCCTTGCACTAGTACAGAAAGTTTCTAATTTCTGCATTTGCTTACTTTTGCCACACGTTTTTTTCCGCACACCAGTATTCAAACTAAATAACACAAAACAGCGTGATTTTATTATGCACGTAATCCTTGTATGCTAGGAAACAGTAGGTTGACAACACTTAAAGATACTGCGACTACGATCAGCTGGTGCAGTTGTTTCCCATTTCGTCCAACGCTTGGATTTAACCTAACCTAAAACGTGTTGTTTGCTGTTTGGAAGACTAATTTTTCTGTGCTTTATAGTAACTGTGGAAAAATATAGTGCAAATATAGTGGAAACACGAGTGCAAAGTGCCTTTGCTGCACTCAAGAAACTCTCCACACTCGCCTGCGGCTCATGTGTAAACATTTCTCACCACGTTGCACACTATTTACACAAATCACTATTGTTTGATGTCTACTGGAAATAGTTTATGGTTTAATTTTTTTTAATATTGATTATGAAGAATATTGGAAATATTCTAGTTGGGGAAATTACCAAAACGTATTTTAAAATTGGGGGCCACTACTACTCAATGTTAGTAGTTTCACTCACAGTGCAAAAAATATTGATCTATGATTTTATCCCCGTGCTTTGCAACGGAGTATGATAAAATTATAGACAGAATTATATTTGAGCTCCGACAAAAATAGTCAGGGATACCAATGATTGAAGAACTTTATACATCCTTAACTTCTCTTTTAACGATCTTTCACTCATTTGGGTTACTTTCCCATCCCAATTGGCAAACTATTACGCTTAATCAATCCATATTTTTTTACTAATACACAAACAGAAGTTAAATCCACAACATCTTGAAAACGTTTATAATCTCGTCAAAGGCAGTACTCGACCTGATTTTTATCCAGTCTGGAATCATACAAAGGAATGAACCTGAGTTAAAAACAAAACCGAGAGAAGCTTTCATTTTGACGAGACGTCTGAACTCTGTAAATCCCCCCCCCCCCACCCCTTTACCCCTTCTGTCTGAAACGAATGTAACAAGGCTCATATCCCAAGTGGTCTGCGAGTGAAAAGTTGTGTTTCGACAGAAATGTTGTTTTAATTTTCAAATGAGTTTTGGATACATGTTTATTATTGGTTTCCATAATGGTTACGTCTGAATGTATGTTAAAAGAAATTCAGTGCAAAATTCTGGGCTCTTTCTTATCATCTAGCATTTAATTTGGGTGATATTTTGAAATTTCTTCATTTTTCTATTTCCTAATGATGCATAAATGCTGAAAACAACACTAAGATACAGTAATTGAAATTGTCGGTTTGGACCCCGATATGGACTCAGCTGTTATATAAATTAGTTCTAATGTTCTTAAACGGTTTATATAAAATCAAAACGTGCACTGGGGTAAAATTATACATGATTTATGCCTTGACAAAGACAAATTATTGTACAAGGGATGGTTAAAAAAGTACTTCAAATTTCCCTAAAGTAAACAGTATTTGATATAGAAATTTAATTCCAAAATTATTTAACCAATTCAGATTTTTCTTTAGCCATGACTACCAAAATATATTTGCGTAGTTCTCTAAACATACTGAGAACATCTTGTAGGTACTAATTTATATGATTCAATTACCAATAATAGAATGACTTATCCTAGAGTTGAGGAAATGAAGATCTCACTAAGATCTAGTGCAAGCACTGCTGTTTTCTCATTGTTCTCCTTGGCGTCTCATGGTATCTTCTTACCGTTTCTCTAGGAGAAATATCTTCATCGGATTTCCGATGATACAGTGAGAAGTGAGACAGACAGACAGACAGGATGGGATAACCGTGAGAACGGTCAAGTAACCTGATGAAGCCAAGATGAAGAGTCAGCGAAACGCGGTATCATTTGAAGACATCACTATACATTTCATCACAACGAATAAATATACAGAATCTTCTAGAAGTACGGGAACGGCGCATTATTTTTTGAAACCATTGCAGATTATGCGAACGAAAACTATGAGAAAACCATTCATTGATTTTAGTCTGTCTTGTCAAAATCAAATACTTTACGTTAGCTGAAATTGAAATCGCTAAGCAGGTTATGCTTGGTGAATTTTTAGAGCCATAGCTTATGATTTCAACTTCGTCACAATCAAACCCACGAATCTCTCCCTGTGAAAACCTATTTCAGGCTTTTAGAAGATCCAGCATTGAGATTTTCCTCTCCAATCTCCAAATTTGTTTTTGGAAAGTATTCCATCTCCCACCATGTTATTCCTACGCTTGTCAATCACAGGGGGAAAGTTCTCTGAATTATTATCGTGGATCAGGTCATATAGTTCAATGTGGTTGTAGACAAAAATACAAAATTTTTAAGTATTTATTTGTTCGTTTCAAATGCTTGGATCCTTTTTCGATGCTTTGATTTTAGACAGTTTATCTACTTTAATCTACTTTTTGGCTATATTTGAGCAATCATATTGGAATGCGATAACCTCAATTTAAAAACAGTTAATACTCTTTCATGTACCTTTTGGAACCACTCAAATGTTTACAACTGATTTGTCATAGTTGAAACTGTTGCAGTCTGCGCTAAAGAAAAGTCTGCCTGAGTCAATTAAAATTTATTATGATATAAATTGATTTATTACATAAATCTATATGCCTAGTTAGGTGAGTGATGCAATTTTCGCATAAAATTAAAAATAAGAGGTTGGCGGGTTAATCTTAAGAAAAGTCAGATTGTTGATTGTTTAAAAGTGGACCCAGCTATCATTGAACATAACCTTTCAATGCGTTATCCTAAAAGAAACTGCAAATCTAAAAAATCTAAAACGATCATTCACCACCTCTTTGACCCTCATTGCATTCATAAAATAAAAATAAATAAAATCACTAAGTATTCATACCATGGACAAAAATAATTAAATATAGACAGTCAGCCGTGCTGCGGTTACCATAGGTTCTGGCGCACACCGTTGGAGGCGCCATGTGTACGCGCTACGTAACTACACGACACTCCCAGCGGTGTGCGCCAGAACCTATGGTAACCACAGCACTGCTGATAGTCTATATTTAATTCTTTTTTACTATGTTACAACCAATACAGTGTCATAGCAGACAGCTGATTGGTTTATCACTTGACACGGAATATTGTCATTGGTAAAACATCTCAACAGATTGCACCACGTTTTTTTCTTCAAATCTTTACATTACATGGGAGTTCTATTCTGTGTGTAGTCAATGGAAGTAGTCTTACTAGAGGTAGGAGAAGTAATTGAACCGTTCAGTCTCTGAGTTTATTTGTAGTGTCGTACAACTCCAGTTCGTTTTACAAACGACTTTATTTCCATCCCGAGAGTTTGATCACCCACTTTGTCTCGAAGTCTAAACAAGCGCCACCGGAAGTCTTATCTAAACATCGTTCAACTTGTGATCTAGGCATCCGGCTCCATCAAAGAGCGAAGTGCCTTATCAATGGAGGCTTTCTTCACCTAAGTGTTGTACTTGGTATTATTGTACGTTAGGGTTGCAAATTTATATTGGGCTTAGGATTCTTGATGAGGTATGATTCGTTGGTTAAATTACATTACCTTTATTTGTAGTTACGGGTCCATTACTTCACCTCTCGGTCTGAACGGAGGATTTCATTAAGACCCGGTCATTACGAGTTGGATTTCCTGAACTGTAAACATGTTCGGAAATAATGGGTGGATAAACAAAACTCTTATGATACGATAGCAAAACTGAAAACTTATGTAGAGAAGTTACGTATATTTGCAAATTTATATGGTGATGAGGTATGTTTGAAGATAACTCTTATGTTTCTTGAAAGATATTTCCCTCTCTGACTCCCATTTATCTGTGAGATATTTTCTTCTCTGACTCCAATGTTTCCAGCAAAATATTTTCCTACTTAACTCACGTATCTTCTGTAAGTTATGTTCCTCGTTCCTCTTTACCCATCATGTCCCATGCAAGATACGTTCCTCTTTAACCATCATGTCTCCTGTTAGATATTTTCCTCTCTAACTCTTTAGTGTCACTTGCAAAGTATTTTTCTCTTTTACCCCCATTTCTACTGCAACGATTTCTACCCTCTAATTCCCATGTCTCCTGAAAAAACACTCCTTAACTTTCCTCACCAACTCGCATAATGTCCTCGAAATATATTTTCCCATCTCACTTCCATGTTTCCGACAAGATATGTTCTAATTGTCATGTCTCCTTCAAGATATCCTCCACTCTTAACTCCCTTAACACTTGTTGAGTATTTCCCTCCCTTACACTTTTGTATACAGCAAGATATTTTCAGTTTAGATGTTGGAGAGGTTTCTTCGGTGGCTACTCCTATGATCCTATGTATCCTACAATATATTCCACTCTAACAGTCGTATTCGTTGCAGGGGCTGGACGCAATGCGGTGGTTCCAGAGAACCAACGAGTCTCCCAGACTCCTGAGTCTCTCCCCTTTGAGACACGAAGGGGAGACTACCACCCCCTCCACCCCCCTGGAGAGACGGTCCAGAGTCGGTAAGTCTAAATAGTTTACATTTTAAAAGTATTTCTAAAATACTGTGTACGGAAATATTTGTGCTCATAGGGTAACTAACAATCAAAACAGCTGATTGTTTTAGCAAAGTTGCAGTAATATCATCCAATGACCACAGATATTGTTTGATGGATCTTAAAATTATTTTCCTCCCTTTTATATAACTGTTCTTTTGAATTTGGTATCGTTAGAATTGTAAAAAAATAGTTTAAATAAAACATTACCTTTGTGGTTTTGTTTCTCCATGTTTTTGGGCCATTTCTTTGATTTCTGATTTCTGACTTAACACACACTTATATTTTTTATCCCTATTAAATTCTATTATATGTCAATTTCTTCGATGATTTAATACAACAAAGTAACAAACAGTTAAAGAAGAAGAACTTACATCTTCAACCATTAAAAAATAATAAAATAGTTTTGTGAAAAAGACAAAATGAAAAATAACTTTAGAGTTTAAGAAATTTTTAACATATTTTAGTTTCTTTTTGGTACAGGAATGATTAAGGTCGGTAATGAGTTCGGGGACACTCTGTATATTGGTTACGACAAGCACACGTAATTCGTAACACCCTGTAATAATACAGTACGCAAGTTGGGTAAAGTAAAGATTTAACACGTTTCTAGGATAAACTTTCTAATTTAAAGCCTTAGGTTGCGTATTCAGAAACTACCACTTGTGAAGGTCAATGATCTTTGCAACCAAATTGGAATTCCCACCTGTGAAACCTTCTAGGAATTTTATATCCAGAACGCGGAGTCTTTCGTATTCATCGTCTGGGAATGCTAATTATAATTACCGATTTTTGTATCCACCGAAAGCTGAAGTATTCTTTATCGCCTTCTGCTAGCTTGCTAAAGTATTCCACACTTTCAGCCTTCCATGTACTTCTCCCAAAACAAAAAATGACATTTTTACGAAATAGCCCTTAAGAATAAAAACGTACATTACGCTTTTATTCGCTTTGATTCTTTCATTTTCGAGATTGTCACTATTGCACTCACATTAAATTATTGAAAAAGAGCGAGAGAATTAAGTGCACAGGTTCATTTGCTCTGGAATTTCAACTGAATGGATTCATTACAGTCGTATCACCGGTTGAACAAATAACTGGTGGATCATAAAAACACAATACCATGAAGTCACTGGCCCAGAACTGAACTGAGTTTACTATAAAAATTAAAATATAATTGTACAGACAATACGTAAAACAGAACCAGATGTTACGGTGATTAGGTTTCAGTTTTCATTTGGGCCAGTGACTTTTATGTGTTCTAATATCCTTGTAAATTTTTTCGCCCCACCTTTCACATAAACATGCAAATGGCCAGTGTAGCAGAAGGTATAGTGGTAGAGTGCGTGAATACAGACCCGAGGTTTCAGGTTCAAATCCCGCTGATTTTGGTCTTTAGTTATGTGATGGTTAAGCAACGCTCTGAAGTAATGTGTAAAGCCTGAAGTAATGTGTAATATGGTTCCGAGCTATAGCCTAGCGTCCTAATATGTGAAGGTCCTAGAACACATAAACGTACAAATTACTATTTCTGCCACAATTTAAGTATAAAAATTTCTATACCAGCATCTTTCACAATCACAGTATATTTTTATATACCATATCCTTCTCCACAATTCTTCTTTCTTTGCTTCTCCTACTATCAACTCCAGCCCAGCGTCCCCCTCCATTCCCGGGCGATCCATGGATGATCCATCCAAGGTCGTATCCAGGAGTCACGGACGACTGCTCCTGGACCATGGACTGGACTCATGGGTCGCCGCCCGCCGCGCGCATACATGGGTAACCGACGTGGAAGTAAACAAACCATTCTCGGACGGTAGGTAATCAGTGAAGCTAAAGGATTGGAAATTTTAAAAAAATGGTTACTTCATCTAGTATTTCTTAATATTTAACGTGAGTAATTCATTTAGCTTTAACCCCGAATACTCGAAGTCATGTAAGAATCTGTAAGGTCAGCTTTACTACTGTTACGGAGTAGGCTTCGTTTGACATTTCTGTACTACAATCTGTCGTTACAATCTTCATGCCTGCCAACATACTGAAGGCACTTACGTACGACAGTTTTGAAATTTGACCCAAAAGTCCACAATTTTCATCACTAAACCCAGTTGTCCTTGCACATTGGACTTTTAATGACAGTGAACTGAGGAGTTGCGAAATCCCTTAAGTTCTTCAATCATTTTTCCATTGATATAGAAACCTTCTTAATCCAGATGTGTTGGCATCGTGAACATCTAACCCAAAACACTTTGATGGGTTATGCGACTCAAAACTCCCTTCCTACATCACTAAAGGAGTACAGTAAGTCCAAACCCTGTTTCAACCTTTCTTCAGGGGCTTCTGCATTTCCTTTCACCTTTCCAGGGTTACCAAGTTGAACCGTCGTATCCTATGATCCACTCGCCTTTTCCTTCCATCGCCTACAGGCATCGATCCACCCGCGGCAACGGCTGTTTGCTTTCTCTTAATCATTTCCGGAAGTTTGAGCAGTTTCCGTCAATTCGACCCTCCAGTGGTCTGACCATCGCTGCTTGTAATCGTTCGTTTCCTCCATTCTACTTTGACTTTGACTCCAGGCCAGGGGAAATCAGTGTCAAACAGATGCACAGTCTCTAGAAGCTAATCCAGGCGTATAATGTTGGAAATACTGCAAGATTCGTTTTATATTTTCCAATAAGCTACTGATGTTTAATTAGTCAGGTCTTAAAATGAATGTCTCAATACAGAAGTCCGGATTTTAGAGTGAAGCGTAACTGTCACGAAAGTCACTATTACAAAAGTTGTGTAAGTGCTGAGAAATATTTTTGGTTTGAATTCACGTTAAGAAGGATCTATTCTGCAAATGTTGACGTTTATCTTTTGGGTAAGTTATTGGTTAATTCGTTAATTGCCTTCTAGATAAATCGAGATCTTGTTGAATTGGTGAAGAGGGCCACGTTTCGTTTACACTGCAGCAATCTTCGTGGGAAACTACAGTTTAACTCAAACAGTAAACAGTATGTATATTTGTAAGTCAATGATTAATCCCGCTATTTACCTGAAGTATACCACTTTTTCACTTATCTTTCTCACGAGACTGATTTTGCAAATTGTCGAACTCCTCCACATCCAAGGTCTGTCTCACCTCCTTTGCGAGTCTCCTTCTCTAGGAAGAGCCTATAGTCTGTATGATGGAATTTGTCCCCTAACCTTCAGTCTGCCTTGGTTTGGCCAATAGTAAATCCTAGGCCATTCTCAGGTAGACGGAGAGTCAGAAGACATGTTCCATCACAGACTATAGGGCGTCAAGTCGAATCCTTCAGTCACGGCGGTCTGTAAGTTGTGTAACAACCGTGGAAAATATTGAATAGATCACACTCCAATCAACCTCTCCATGCATTGTACCTCTGCCACCGTGAAATGAACTATTCAAAGAACATTTGTGCCAGAATAAATTGTGGTGCATCGTTTTGAGTATCTTTTTAGACCCAAGTGTACAATAATGGAGTCTTGATGACGAATTTCCATTTTCCATTTAATTCTTCGAGGTTCTGTATTTCCTCATCTGTAATATTTCTAAATAGAATAATCTTCCAAATCCTTGTAAGTGAAAAGTCTCATAACACGACGAGAAAATTAGTGGATTTCTTTGTTCTGCATCTATTTGTTTTTTATTATCACTACTTTAAAAATGTAGAGTCTGTATGATGGAACCTATCCCCTAGGTCTACCTGGGGTCTGGCCAATTGTTCGGGTCCAGATAGACGGAGGGTCAGAAGACAGGTTCCGTCATACAGACTATAGGTTTTAAGCTGAATATGATGCAAGGTAATTGTAGAATGGAGTGAGACAGTGTCCGTAGCTATGTTAAGTGACCAAGATCAGCTGTTTCTTCAGCCAGGGTTATTAATTAAATTCCCAATGATAAAGGATATCTAGGTCCAGTTTAGAGCCATCAAAACGCATCACGTTGGTTCTATTTTTAGGATGGGAAAGACTAATTCTTTCACTGTTTAAGTTCAATTACCAAACATAAAAGGTGATTGTTTGTAGAAGGAACAGTTGGAAGGGCTGTTTGAGAGTCCTTAAACGATGGAGGGCTGAAGCTTCAAGAGCTTAGGGATGAAGGGCTCTTCTTTAGTCTAGACAGAGGAAAAAGAGGGATACAAAATGTGCATTGTCACCAAACTGTCAGAAACTTAGTAATGGTGGTTCAACCTCCTAATATCAAAATTACAATATACAAAATAATTAAGACATAAATTAATGCATATGCTCTAACTGCCAGTAGGAGTAGGGCGTATACCAACACATTCCACCTTGCCAAAGAATATTGATTACAGTTTCGGTAATTGTCATGTATGTTGAATCGGTAGCTTTTTTTAATCAAGAAAGTGATGTCGTGTGTTCACATTTCGGTGACAATTGAAATTTATCAGTAACTCATTTCCGTACGTTTGCCACTCCCCCATCTCCTTGCCTGACGTTCTGCACACAGGCCGCTAAGAGATACCTCTGATTCATTCCAACATAATAAAAGAAAAGTTAAATCCCACAATTTGTATGCCAATAACTTACAATGCCACACACGAGGACCTATTACACTTGTGAACGATCTTGACACAGTAGAACGCTTAAATTTCAATTTAAGATAGACCTTAACTTGACGCCATTTGGCACTTGCCAGATGATTGCACAATGGTGCAGATGTTCAACTGGTCTGACAACAATCGATCTCTGGAGTGAAAGTGAGCAACTCATCGGTGTGGAATTGAACAAACAAGTCAAACCTTCATTGGGAATTTGTTTGTGACATCGAGCTCGAGGATGGGAAAATGTATCGAGATTATGGACAACTTGACAAGTGAGGTGTTTGGAAGTTTGTTTTGCATCTCATTCTGGGTTAATTTTAATTTCAAAGATGATTAACGTGAATGAATTAGGACTTTGAAATATATTGATGATAATTATTATCATAGATGGAT